AATATTTTTTGAAAGAGCAACTTATAACGATTTTAAAAAATGAATAAACAAGAAGTTCTTAAGGCTTAGACAAATCTATCTATATGCATACATCTAAAAATACCAACATTACTTGCCATAGTATGTTGGACATTTAACAAGGTTAACAAAGTACCCATACATATCTATTATTGCAAGCGCTCCTCATCAATGAACATCTCGCCCAACCAGCCAGATAATTTTTTTTTTTTTCAAATGAACAACAGTGGTTCTAAGCGTCTAAGTTGTTTCTTCAAGGACAAGAGACTCTTAGGAGTCCAGAGGTTTCATGACTCCGTGCATTTTCCTTTTCCCTTTTGGTTTTAACAAATAAGACAGAATCAAGAAAACTTTGATCCTTTGATCTGAAATTCCTCAAAAATCTCATTCTGTGAATTCTGTGCTTGGAAAACAGTCTCAGGTTTTCCAACCATCCCTCTTTATTATTTAAATTTAGCCAAGCCTGTTCCATTACGTCATGGCTTTCTAAAATGTCTTCTGGTGTTTGATGAATTGTTAGTGGCATACATGAACTTGTCAAACTAGGAACTGCATTGATAGTTATTTGGGATTAGCCTTATTATAACTGCAAATTGTTAAAAGTTATTAAAATGTTTAAGAGAGTGTCATAGAGAAGCACTTTTATTTGCTGAATAATTAAAGAAAGCTGAACTCTATGAAGTGCAGTAATATTACATTTAATAAAAGCACTGATTGCATCTCATATCTTGCAATTTGGAAAATTAAAACAAATTGACAATCTTTTAAATAGGTCTATCCTTAATATAACTAGGATAGTATAAAGCACACAAGGAATTTAGAACTTAGGTCAATAAACTTCAAAAACAATCATATTCTCTTCAAATGAATGTTAAAATTATCAAATTGATGTTGCATACACCAACACCCAGAGGCCTAATTGTATTTTGGATCAAAAAGATAAAGCACTAGAGACTCATTCTACCACTTATTAATCATTTTTCTTCATGCCCTCCATGTCCATTGCTATGAGAGATGACCCTGAAAACAGATGAGTTAAAATGATTTCCCAAATGTCAAAAGCCAGAGAAAGCAGCAGGACTAGTTCCAGAGCCTTCTGATTGTCGATGCCGTTTGTATTTGCACTGCTTCAGCACAAGAAAACAGGCAAAAACAAATTACACTGTTCAGCTTGGTTACTAGCCTCAATCTCTGTAGCTCATTTCTCAGTCCTAGCTCTTTTGAAAGAAGCCCATTTTATTTACAAAACTACATGAAGTTTCACTTTCTTTTTGCACTGACTGAGGTTCTTTTCTTTCATTAATTCCTTCTCTACTAGGCTAATGCCTCCGGGAGAACATTAGCCCCCTGCGTCATTGAAAAGACTCATCAGACACTGGGGACCCACCAACTTCTTTCCTGCTCTGTGGGCTCCGATTCAGCATTGGAAACTGAAGTGCAAAAATGCTCTGCTTAGCTCTTTTGACATAGAGCAGGGAAGGATATCCTCTGGGTTATTCACTGACAATGACGATGTTAATTTACACCGCCTATCTTCTCTAAGTGCAAATGACTACACAGCTGATTCAATAGAGACCTTACACAAAGAAACCAGCATCAAAGAACAAGGGCAGTGTAGATAGAAAAAGGATCTAAGAGAGGCTGTAACTAACTGTGCATCAGCCTAGACAGAAGAAGAGTTTGTAGCGATCTCTCCTGTGGACCTGAAACTGGTAGACACCCACACACCTGTCCTCTATTTTCAGAAGGTACATTTCTCCAGTGAACAATGACTTACTAGCACTTCACCAGTAAGAGTAACAGTAAGCAGATGCTTGGTTTAACTAATTAATTGGGCAATTCACTCCCCCTCATCTATGATTTTGGCTTAAGTAATGCGTTCTATGTAATAGATTGCCAAGCAGATGAATGGCACTGTTTTCACCTTATGGTTTAACACAGCAGTGCTTTTATTTCATATGTATGAGCATCAGGTAACAGAAGTTTATTAATCATACTTGGGCAAATATTAAAAGAATAAAATGATTTTAAGCATTAAAATATTCCAGGAAAGCGTCAGAAATTCAAAAAGTATACTCACTATTCATCAGACACTCAGGTTAGCATTTGAGATTTATGACAGAGACTATGACCAACTTTTGAATACAAAGAAAAAATAATTGCAAAAGTTACAAAATTACAGATTTCCCTTCCACTGACATTAAATCCAGACTTGACAATCACATCCCAATCTTACTTCATTAGATATTAACCTTGCACTGGACATGAGAGAATTTGAAAACAACATCATAGCTACAAAATAAAAGGAGGGGCTCTCACCACAGCAGAACAATCACACTGTGTTGAAAGTTGGAAGTAGAACTATTAGGCCTCATTAGCTAATTATTATCTTGGCATCCACTTAAGTTAGTTTTTCACTGTGAATGTCATTTTTTCCTATTCAACCACTGTGGTTCAAAACGTTTTGACTACTTAAAAGGGAATACATCATCATTGCCTTCCCCCAGTCTAACTGCACACCACTTTCCAAAGCAATAGCTTCAATCATGCTTCATAAAATCCCCCGCAAGTATATTGTTGGAAACATAAATCAGCAAGCTGGGATTTTAGTATTTCTAAGGCTAGCCCAGGGATCACAGACTGGCAGCTTTTCCATGGCCCCATTTACCAAAGAATAAACAAAATTATGAGTTACAGTAGGTCCATTTTTTTAAAACAGCTCCCAGTGGTATGCCTGATACTTGCTGCTGCATCCTTAATTAGAGAACAAAACACTAGCAAAGAGGAATTGGACGAGAACATCTATTTCTAAGCATCTCTGGCTTCATTAGGACACATAGCACAGAAGTATACATGCTGCTTTCACAAAAGCTGGGTCCCTCTGATACACATCTACGCGTCTGAGGGTGCCACGCATTTTGAAATTGTACTAGATAGCGACACTCTTTACGGTGAAGCTCTCCTTAAACCTGTTTCTTTGCAATGAATATGGGCTCCCCTTCAGGCATGTTGCAGGCTCAGAGTCTCTCTTTTCAACTCCCTTGTATTCTAAATTACAAATTAGTTGGGTCATAATTTCAAATACACGCTGCATATATAGACTAATATGGGTTCCTATGTGTTCTATTTAGATCTAGACATTTAAAAATTCCTAGATTTCTCTGTATCCCCAAATTCCAACGCACTTAGTGTTGGGTATGATAAATTCAGACTGCACAACTGAGACATTTTTCTCCTGCAGACTACTCATAGTGCAATCATAAATCTGCATAAACTTGCTTCTTCTTATGCCCCCACCTTTCTCCATGCTATCCACCACACCTATTTAATTGCAGTTGTATTGAGCTTCAATTGTCTAGGACTCTTAGTATTCAGAGAAGCCTGTCTACATTATAAATGAACAGTTAAACACAATCTCAAAAAATTAAATCAGCCTATCTGCAGGGCATAAGTGTATGTTGATCTTTGCTGTAGGAGTGATTGAATCAACCGATGGAGCTGATATTGCCTCCAGATGAACATATCTGCAATTTTGCTAAGACTGAAATATTGCATACTCTATGTTATGGGAAAATAAGCAGCATTTTACCAAGATATTTCACAAACTAGAGCAAAATCTAGCATGTGCCTTCTGATTTCTGCACATAAAATCTGCATCTAATCGTGTTTCATCAGTCACTAACACTATAGCTTTGGGGAGGAGCAGGGCAGAGAAAGGAAGGCTTCACATCCAGAATGTCAAGCCCTGCTGAAGAATGATAGAAGGACTCAGAGTGGGGAAGAGCAGAAACACATTTTTCCGGGCTTAAAATGGAGTTCTACCACCCCCTGCTGGACTCCACGAACACCACAGACGAGAACAAAATGCTTAGAATTGAATACGGTCGGAATATTTTAACTTGTCTTGTAATTTATTATTTTCTCAAAAAAAAAAAAAAAAACCACGTTCATGGCACCCTAATATAACAATCTGTGCAATTACACACTTCACAAAATTAGTGCTCTTTTCTGTAAAGACTTTCACTAATGGATGTTTCAGCATTTTGTTTCCCCCAATTAAATGTCCAAACTTGTCCGGACAGTTGAAAATGCTTGCATTTACTGTAAATATATTTTATATGAACATATACCATTTGAACGAGCAAAATAAATTCCTGTCTCCTTCTACAGATAAACAGAAGGAGCGTCCACAAATTCTCTATCAGGTTATTCCACTAGGCTATTAAATATATATATATATATATACATATGTAGAGATAATAGCTCCCAACACTTCTCCACCCCCCAAAAAATCCTATACAGGTTTAATTCCAATTTGATGCTATATAATTCTTCGACCTCAGAGTATTAAAATGGGTGTGGGGGTGGAGGGTCAGAATGAATGACTGCAACACATCCCTAGTTTTATCCGTTTGCTGTCTTACACACACCATCCATGGCCCCTCTCGTAGTTCCCAACAGAAATAAGCCAGCACCATTCACTTCACAGCCAGAAATCGGGGTCTTAGGAAAGGGGAGGAAGAGTCTCTAAGAATCGAATCCCTTGCACACACAGCGATATTTGACAGGCGAGTTTAACGCTGATAGTTTCCACCGCTTCTGTAAAACACCATCGTGCCCTTTCCTCCCGCAACCTCAGATATTTAACTGTTAATATACACGCACACACGCATCCGGTTTTTTGGAGAAAGAACAGAGAGAGCCACAATCCCAGCTAAAGCAGCAGTTTCGCCTCGCTCTCCTGCCCACTGATGCCCATCTCCAATTCTGTATTTTTCTCTTCTCTTATGTGAGGGTCTCAGCAAAAACAGATACCATTCCAGCTCCAAAGAAAAGAGCAAAGAATCACAGCAGCACCAGCAGCAGCAATCACCGTAACTTTAGTGCCTGCCTCTCCTGCTGCCCCGAGCTCCCCTCTTCGCCTCTCTCGGTTGGGTGGAAGGGGGAGGGAAAGTAAAGGCGATAAAGCACCACACTCCTACCTTGCCCGCTACTGACAAGCAACCCGAGCAGGTAGAAGGCGAGGAGGAGGCTCATGTTCAGGACGTGACACTGGTGGACAGTTCCAAAGTTAGCAAGTCCAGCCCTGTGGAGAGAGAACCTTCCGCTGCCACGGCCGCCTCAGCCAGAGCCGCCGCCGCTCCCGGGGTGCCCCAGCCGCCCGCAGCCCGCGCGCTCCTCGCAAAGTGACTGCAAGCTCCGCGCCTTGCCGCACTATATCCAGGCAGCGGCGGCGGCGGCGGCGGCGGCGGCGGCAGAAGCAGCACCAGCGGCCGCCGAGGCGGCAGCAGAGCCGGGCGGGGAGGGAGGCGGGGGCGGGGGCGCGGAGGGGAGGCGCGGCCGAGGCGTATCCCTCCGCGCCACACGGCCGCCGCTTCTCCGTGAGGCGCGCGGCCCCGGGATTCGTCCGCAGTGGAGCTCGAAGTCGCGGGTTCGGGCCCCGATGCCTCGAGCTAGACAGAGCGGGCTGGGACGGGCTCCTCCGTGAGGTGATGGTCCGTGCCAAACCCGTCAGCCCTCTGCACGCTGAGGGACGTCCCCTCCCCCCTGCCCTCCCCAGCCCGGGCTGAGGCGGGCGGGGGAGCAGCGCTGAGCTCCCTCGCCGCTGAGGGCCACTTTGGGGAAGCGGAATCTACCGCTGCCGCCGCCGCTGCTGCTGCTGCTGCGGGCGCCTGCCGGCTCCTACTGTCCACGCGCGCCCGGGCGCAGCGGCAGCGGGGCATCCGCGGGCCGGGCGGGGGATACCTCGCCTCCGGTTCTTCCAAGGGCGAGGCTGGGGGCTGGAGGCATATCTCTCGGGCCCTCCCGCGACTCCAGGCTGGGACAGACCGGCACCCTCGGAGGCCGGCCCCTTCGCACGCCGGCCACCCCCACGCCGTCCGACCCGGGGGACGCGGCTGTCCTGCAGGGCAGCGCCGCCCGCTCCTCGAGCGCCAGCAGGGAGGCGAGGGCTGCACAGCGTTTCTTTCACCCCAGTGCGGCCGAGGGCAGGCGCCTCGAGGGGTCTGAGCCGGGAAGGGGCCCTGGCCCTGCTGCGTCCTTGGAGGACCGCGAAGCCCCTGGGCGCCCCCTCTCCGCAGCTCTGCCCCGGGTCCCCCGCGCTCAGCCTCGGCCAGGGCCCCAGCGAGCGGCGCCGCCTGGGAGGTACTGCCCGGGAAGCCGTCGGTGCAGTGCGCTGCACTTGCGTTCTGGCCCTTGGGGGCGCAGGGGACACTTGGCCATGCTTCCAAAGAAGACGTGTTTTGTTTCGTTTTGTTTCTCCTGACCCGGGCGGGGACTCGGAAATAGAATGGAGTCCAAATACTGGAGGGCTCGGAATCCAGCCCCTGCCCGGGATTCGGTGCTGCAATGCGCGCCTCCTTGCCTTCCGGGAGGAAGGGCAGGGGCTGGGAGTAGATGTGAGCCCCTTGACTAGGGGAGATGGCTCTGGGATTTGTCCCCTCAGGCAGGGCCGTTACACTCCAGAGGCACTCATTTGCCCCCTGGGATGAGGCTATTGGAAGAAAGGCAGGGGCGGGAAAAGCCCCTCTCGACCTCTGTCCCTGTCGTTTCGGCCCCCTCGCCACCCCACATCCAAGGACCTCGTCTCCCTGTTGATTCTACAGCAGACAATATCTAGGAAGTTGCTTTGCCAAGACACCCTTCCCTGGTTCTGGGGCACACCAAGTGTGCTTAAGTAAGCTCACAGTTAGCTTTTTGCAAGAAACGGTGACAACAACACATTTGTAGGCGTGAAAGACAAATGACTAGGTTTTTTTTTTTTTTTTGAACATTTCATCATTTTCCTAGAGGATCGAGAAATGCACACATACACACACAATCACAGAAGATGGTTAAACGGATGCTGTCTGTGCCAGATAGCCTCTTTACAAAGCCTGCACATTTTCAGCCTGACATCAGGAGTGGCCAAAGTGCCTATGACATTGACACACATGCACACACCCTTGTGTACACACACACACACACACACACACACACCTATAACCAAGGAAATACAGGACTGGCAGTTGGAGTCTCCTCTTGATAATTACGTCTATCTCGGGCAAAGGGTTGAAATCAGGGAGAACTGAGTTGCAGCCTGTGTGAGGTTTGAATCTTAAGATTGTGTCCAAATTCCTGTGTGTGTGTGTGTGTCGGGGGGGGGGGGATGGAAGGGGGTAGAGACAGAGATAAAGACAGACCAGAAGAGAGACAGGCAGAGGCAGAAAAAGAAAAAAAAAAAATTGTGTGGAAGAACTGAGTGAATGGACCATTGGTACTCAGGAACTCAGGAAGGTGATACAGCTGTTGATCCTGCTCTCCCCAGTTTGCTGGTAGTCTTGTTCTGGCGATAGGACATACCCTCAGAATTCGATCATAGGTATCAGGTTGTAAAATGCCCTGAGTAGTGCCACAGTGGCTTAAGAGAAAGAGATCGTTTCTGAGTAGCAGATTAAGAAAGGCTTCAGGGAGGAAGATTTGAAGAAAGGGGAGAAATTAGACAGCTACGTGGGCAGGACAGAGAGAAGCTTAAGCAGAGCCTGGGGGTGTAAAATCACGCAGCATGTCTGGAGAACAGAGAGAAGTCTAATTTGAAAAAAGTGGAGTGTGAAACACAAAGGAGGGATGGAGTTGGGAAAAGGCTTGTGCTAAGACACTGCAACTACTTGCAAGCAACTTCTCAGCTTGAAAGCCCAGACCTGTGTGGTCAAGAACAGTGAGACTTGTCTTCATTTTGAGGGCTCCTGACTGTTTACAAGTGGTGGGGACACAGAAAGATGTTCAACCAAGGCTTTCGTGGGTCTTTCCCATCATTCACCTAAATTGATTTCACTGTGAGGATACAAGAGCAGAATATCCCATACACCAAGAAACTTGTCTCAACTGCTTCCCAGCCACAAGTCAAAGTGCTCACACCTCCCCTACCCTGGGGGGGGGGGCAGGGCCTCTATCAGAAACATATTCATTTCTCTTTGCAGTGACATAGGGATAAGCAGCCTGATATTTGCCTTGGTGCCTTCCTCTTTTCAATAGATGGATGGTGTAAGGACTGCATGTGGACAAATAGCCTCTAGTCTGTGCCTCTCCCCACTCTGGAGGCTACGTTCTATATACAGGCATCCAGTCTTATTATCAGATGTTTGAAATCTGTGAATGTGCTAAGCCATGGGCACTGTGTAGGATATAAAAGGTGTAGAAATGCATCCTCCTTTCTCTTTGTGTGACTCTTAATTTACATTCAAGACAATTTATCAACTTCTTTATCTACCTGAGGAAATGCCTCAGAGACTTAGTTGGGGCTTTCGTTGTTTCATTTATAAAAATAAGAGCAAGTTGAACAGAACTCAGGAATCCATGAAAAGCTGAATAGTACGAAATACCAATAAGACTGGATGCATGGTTAAATGAAAGCAGATAAATTTGATTTAAAAGAATCAATAAAATGAACATGAAGGAGTAGCGAAGCGATAGAAAACGATAAGGTGCATTATATGTGGAAATTATCTTCTCAGAGATATTCTGCCTCTTACATCTGCAATCTGTTCTTGCAAAAAACAGGCAGGTATATAATGTATACCTTCGGCCTAGACATGCTGGTTGTGCAATGAGCAATATTTAAGTGTTCTTATATTTGTGTCTCGGATGTTATTTTTGTTTATTCTCTCTTTTGACAGAATTCATGTGTGTTAAGATCATACTACTAGGAAACGGGACACTCTGTGTGTTCATTTATATTTTTAAAATGTCACAATCCATTATACCTACTCATTTACTTGTCTAGGAAATTGCCTGTTTTGACTTTTTTATTACCACAAGGGAAGAAAAATATCCTATGTATATATAGATAGATAGCCTGAAACCTCTACAAATAGATGGCCCTGCCATTGCCTTCTTTGCACTATTAATGCTACTTTTTCTAATGATTGTGTCTGAAAATAATTTGTACTTTCTTGATGCAACATTTTAGATGTTATAACAGGTTATTTGTGAGTATATGACAGTAGCTGCTTTAGTGATAGGATTTAGATTTTAACACCTTCATTTGTAAATGCTTTACTTCCTTTACTCTTCTACTTGAAATTAAGAAATAAAAGAGACAGATTTATGGTACTATGGCACCTAATTGTCACAGAATCTACGTTTTAATTTCTTTCAAGATACATGGGGTCATTTTCCTTCATGGCTACTTCATGTTCCCTCTGGGCAAATAACTGCTCACTTCGCTCTGAAATTATGCAATAACTGCCTACAATTTGCCACTTGCCAGAATAATATTTTCTTAACTCCAAAGGGATATTATATTTTTCTTCACCAAGAAGACATCCTTGGCAAATAAAACAATGGACAGAGCAGAAAATGTAACAAATCTACAATACATTGACCAATGATTCACACAATTTCAAGACAATACTTAGCACAAAGTAAGACGGAAAAAAGGCATGAAGCAGTGGCTAGCAGTGAACCTATTTGATATGACAAGTATCATGATGGGAAATGCAGGTTACCTAAATATTGATCACAGCAGTCAGAAATAATATTTTTGTCTCTGGGTACTATTGACCAAGGTGATGTCTGCACAAATCCCATCCTGTTAGAGACAGTTATTACATCTAGACAACAACAAACCTTTCATCTCTGGCAACTGATCCAGTACAAGTATAGGTTTGATAGGATGTAGCACATTAGTCAATTACATTTCTTTCTGGGCAATAAAGTTAGCAATTAAAATTTAAAATTTTTTAAATCTTTTATTGCACAGAGCTGTTTGGTTCCTCTCTTAATTGAGTTATATTTCTGTTAAAGTTCAAGTTAGACAAGCAATTGTATTAGTAATAGACACATTCATGGCAGCAGTGGAATTCCTTCTCATATAACCACAAACCAATAATATTCTACCTAATATTACAGTGAAGCACATTATTTGAATACTCATTTTATGTAAATTTGGATTAATTAAGCAAAAACTCATCTTCTACATTTTCATAAGATGTTCCTCACTCATTTTAAGGAAAACACACAATCTCTTCACCCCCATTCTTTATCATAAAGCTTATATTTAAATAAATGCGTGCTTAGCACTGTTAGTGGATTTGGCAATCTTTCAAACTCCATGGAACTCAACATCTATCGCAGAAATTAAACTGAAGATAAATACAAGGTATTAGAATGGGGGAATAAAGCTACATGTCTGTATTTTTAAGATATATGTTCCCATTTACTAGTCTCAAATTATTGCATAATAACTATAAAAAATTAGAAATGCCTGAAACCTATAGACCAGACAGAGGCCAGCCCTTGAACATTTTATCCAACTATCTGCTAGTCTTCCATATATTTATTTTCATAACATAGATTGAGATAATATTGTTTGCCACCTTTCTGTTTTAAAATGGAAATAAAGTGAACATTGTCAAAAGTTTCGCAAATACATATTAAATAAATTAATTTAATTATATAAACTACATCCCAACATGTTTGACGATTTTCATACACTAGGGCATTAGCAGTGTCTCTATAATTTTGCTTTTTATTGAAATGAGTAACACTGCAAAGTAATTGTCTTTATACATAGTGCTGTGACCAAATTATAGACTACATCCTTATACTACTAAAAGTTAAATAGGTTGGCAATAACATATAACTATTTGTAGGGACTGGATCATATTGCCTTAACTTTTTTCTAAACTATATTATTTACCCTCTAACCAGCACTTCAGTCCCACCTATGAAAACTTCTATTTTCATTTTTTCTTGGCTTATAGAACTTTATTTTTTTTTACTTTTTTTAAACTTTTATTTAATAAATATAAATTTCCAAAGTACAGCATTTGGATTACAGTGGCTCCCCCCCCATAACCTCCCTCCCACCCACAACCCTCCCATCTCCTGCTCCCTCTCCCATACCATTCACATCAAGATTCATTTCAATTATCTTTATATACAGAAGATCAATTTAGTATATACTAAGTAAAGATTTCAACAGTTTGCACACACATAGAAACACAAAGTGTAAAGTACCGTTTGAGTAATATTTATACCATTAATTCACATAGTACAACACATTAAGGAAAGAGATCCTACATGG